TATTAATATTATTAATGTAGTCAGACTTGAAGCATGGAAGCAAGGAGTTTCTTCCTCTGATTGGTATTGTGTGAGCGCTGATGGCTCGGCTCGGAGTGATTTTGTTAGTGCCATGATGAAAATGGCAGCTCGCCTTTTTAAAGCTGTGTATTTGCAAATGTGATTACAGGGTGTGCGTTTAAATAAATGAAGCCAAAACAATGACGCACAATCAGGACTTCATAAACCAGCGAAAGGCCACGGACAGATTAATGAGTGCATTGCAGACGCGCTCACAAACGTGCCAGCGCAAGATTTGGAATTACACATATATGTGACACGTTGTGCATTCAAAGAGCAGGTGAAAGCAGTGATCTCACCATGTAATTTGCTGTTGATTTTGTGTTTGCATAAATGGCACATGATGTCTCTGCATTAATAAGGGTAATATTTACCCTTTCCTTGTCTTGACAGGCCTTGACAGTGACAACAAGTATGTCAGCAGTTTGAGATCTAGAATAAAACCCCTGGAGTGTGACTGCAGTTACTTTTTTAATAACACAACCGAGGCAGTTATTATGTAGATTTTTGGATGAAATTGTTTATTTCAAACTTGTGATTTAAAAAAAAGTTGCACTTGCTGCAAAACATACAGGACCACCTCGCAAATTGTACAAATGATTATGACAAATGTCTTCTAATCGACGATGTAAATTACCATGACATAATAGCCACGTTCAGACAATGCAAATGATATGACATAGCAAAAAAAAAAGTAAAATAATTGTGCATACGTTATTACTATTACATTCGCACGAGGAACTACGTACTACGTCGTGTGCACAGAATACACAGCTGCTTTCGGGGATCCTGTTACGAACACGTACAGTCGTGCGAAAGTGCGCACGAAGGAGGTCAAGCGCATGCACAGGAAATAGCCCTGGCTCCTTGCAGGTCACTTAACTGAGAAAATCGAACGCATTTTTTTCAAAGTTGAACTGTCGAAGGAAAGCTACGCAATGGACAGGGACAGCGTGATCAATTTTTATTTTAGGTTCGGGATGAGTTACAAGGACATTATGAAAAGCCTGGCATTGCAAGGAATCATTATCACCAAGAGCATACATGGCAATGGCGAGTGATGGAAAAAGCGGAAGGGGCGTGGCCTGGACGGGGGCGTGGCCTGGACGGGGGCGTGGTTACTTACAAAAGTGGCACTAAACATGCTGAAGATGAAGTGTATTAAATTTACACAGTTTGAAAATTGAACAGAAAAAAATCCCAAGATCGCCACTATTCTTTCAAGTGAAAATTTGTGCAATTTTGCCTATGCATTCCTGGTGAGCACCAATATGTAACTCCAAATTTGCTGCTCAAAATCAAAACTAAAAAAGTAAACACAT